CCTGTCCTCCCCAGGCTCCATCCCCAAATCTCCAGGAGTTTCTCAGCTTGGATCTGGCAACCCTATCCCCCCTCCCCCTCCAGTGGCTGGGGGGGCCTGGCAACCCTAGCCTAGAATGTGTCTTGGGCTCCTCTGCATGCACCGGACGTTCCACGGCAGAATATGTAGGAGATCCCTTGGCAAGAATAGTCAAGGGGAAGGAGTTCTCTGGAGAGGGACATGTTTGGAAAACAATTGCTGTAGGCTTGGCAAGGTTCTCACCCAGAGATGGCGGGAGCCAGTGCCATAGAGGATTTACATATTCTGCTTCTGGTGGGAATTTGGGATCCTTTCCGTTCTTCCTCCAGGGCAGACCTCGTCCACTGCCTCCTCTGGCTCTCCGCTGTGCTTGCCCCCTCCCCAGGCTGGACAGAGCTTAGCCGTCTAGCCAAGCAAACTAACAGAAAAACTTGGCTGAGCTTCATCTAAAACAACTTTAGCATACACACCAAAGAATCAACGCTAAATTTGGAAATAGACTAAGAGAGGAGAATCAGTTCTCAAGTCCTTTGAAATCTGGAGGAAAACTAAGGGTATTAGTAACATTCCCAAGCCATATATAATCACATGGAAAGCTATATCATTTTGCCAAACCCCTGAACATAAGAACATAAGAGACGCCAATGTTGGATCAGGCCAAAGGCCCATCCAGTCCAACACTCTGTATCACACAGTGGCCAGAAATACCAGTGCCATCAGGAGGTCCACCAGTGGGGCCAGGACATTAGAAGCCCTCTCACTGTTGACCCCCCCCCCAAGCACCAAGAAGACAGAGCATCACTTGCCCCAGAGTCCCTATCTATACCTTGTGGCTAATAGCCACTGATGGATCTCTGCTCCATATGCTTATCTAATTCCCTTTTGAAGCCGTCCATGCTTGTAGCCACCACCACTTCCTGTGGCAGTGAATTCCATGTATTAATCACTCTTAGGGTGAAGAAGTGATGTCTAAAAAAAACCCGCTAGTGGATGTAAGCCAGGTCCCCCTCCCTTCTCTGCAACCATCCCTTCTGGGCTTTCTTTCAGTTCCTTGAATGACTGTGCCGTTCCCCCACTCCAGTACTGGGGACTCTGCCTTATGGCTTCCCCCCTCCATCTGCGGGGGACAGACTAGCTTCCGACTGGTGGTGGGTCCATCTTGTGCATGAGATTACAGATGTCTGATGGGCTTTACATCCCGTTCTCCTCTCACTGATAAAGGAATTTAAAGGCGTTTTTCACAACCTGTTAACACATACTAAAGGAAAGATATTTTTGTTCACAGTCCTTGGGAGAAGTAAAGTAACATCCATGGCAATAAAGAACATTTAGCTAGAAGGTCTGACTAGATATTTGAAAGATCACCTGGGACACCTGTGTTGTTCTGTTGTACAGAAGGCCTTTTCTAGAAGTTTCTGTATAACTTGGTAGGTGGTGGTATTTGCTTATGGCTGTTCTGTCTCTGATAAGTATGCATACGGAGAGTGATTTCAGCTAAGCATACCTTTATTTAGTCAGGAACAAGATGCTGGGGCCGGCTTATATTCCCTCAGAACCCACCACCAAAACACACACACCCACTTCCCGATAGGCTATTTACAGTAACCAAGAGACCTATTGGCCTCACAGTTTGGGACCTAGCCCACTGATAGGGCCGGCTAGGATCCTTCTGGCCCATTGTCTTTAGGTGTGAAGCTTCAGGTTTGGTCCCTGGGCAAGTCTGGACATGCCCGGCCTTGTCAGGGCTGGATACACTACAGTCTCTAAAGCCCACCTCCCCAACTATGTGTGAGGAGACTGTTTTTTGCTTTTGTTTTGCCCAGCCAATACGTGTAAGGAAGTTGAGCTGAAGGAGTTTGTTTGGATCTGGCTGGGGAGCTAATTCAGGATTTCAGCATATTAAACTGATAATGCTTTGAGACTAACATTGCCTGCCTGTGTGCTTGCTTTTGCAGTCCCATCTGCCTGCTCAACCTGTACATCTGCAAACAAGCAGATCATTACCAAGACACCATAACTCCCCAGTGCTTTCTCCCCAAGGGGAAACTGGCTGCTCTGAATTTCAGGGAAGGGAGAGTATAAAACATGGACCTGAGACTCAACATGACTGGAGGCCTGTTTTATAAAATGAATGCTGAGTTTCTTGTGTCTTGTCAATTGCACCTTGTCCAAGTAAAGAATATTGTCCATTGGGGCAAAGCAAAATGATTTTTTAAGTAAAAGGTCTCTTGTTAACATAAGGGCTGATAGCAGAGAAATCTTTAAAAGCTAGCCATGTAAGTCTAGATGGTGAAAATGCATTCAAATATTATGTAATATTATTTTCCCATGAGCTGAAACACTGAGGTTGCCATAGGAATGGCATACAACTGGGAACAGATGGGAAATATTTCCATACAAATGTGAACTACAGATAGGCAAAGCAAGATGCAGAACACACTATGAATGCCTTGAGAAATTTTGGATTCCTCTGTAGTAGAAGGCAAGGATGTGAATTCTCCTCAGAAACTAGAAAACAATGGAAGTGATTTAAGAATTCAGAACAGCTGGAAGGAAGCAAAAGTTGTAAACAGCCAGATGGACTAATGCCTCTTAAGAACGGATAACTTTGTATTTCCCATACGTAAAAAGCCAAGTGCTCTTTAGGAAACCTATGGAAAGGATTAGTGGTATGTGCATAAACATAAATTGAGGAATGTAAAGGGCAACAGAACTCTAAAGGAAGTTATACCATTAAAATTTTGGATTCAAATTCCTGAGAACTAGAAGTTAGTATTCCATTCAGAATTTTCCCAGGGCAGTTGCCATCAAGCCTCAAAATATTAATGATTTAGCAGCACCATGATGGAAGAAACCTCTTTATTCTAGAAAACAAATGAGGGTTTATCACATCTGGGTGATCCCTGTTGCACAGTAATCCAATACTGGAAGATTTAACATTCAGTGCATTACATAGTGACTTGCACAGTAATAATATTTAGTATTTATATAGTGCTGAGTATTCAAAATGCTGTAGGTTTAGTAAGGAAGGTTGGTCGGTGGTATTATCCCCACATTGCAGAAAAGGGAGGGAGGCTGAACCTGAGACAGGAGGGCTTTGTGAGTCAGTGGCTGAGATGAGATTCGTGGAGACTTCCTGATGACATACATTACATAAAATTGTGTATAAAGAAACCCCTGTACCTGGATCCACAAGTAGAACATAAGTTGCTTACATTCCCTCCCACTTCAGTCCAAAATGCTTCCCATAATGGTGAAAATGAGCAGGTGCCCCGTACCCCTGCCCTGCAAACCATAAATTTGCGGCTTGCGGGGCAGGAGTGAGTGGCCCCCGCTTTAAAAGATTCGCAGCTTGTGGGGCAGGTGTATACAACACCTGCTCCTTTTAAGCGGGGACACAGATTACTGTTGAGGGTGGGGCTTGCCCCTGCCGGCCACTGGGCTGGCGTCTGGGGGGGAGCCCCAGAAATCGGGGGATCCCCCACCTGGGGACTGGCATCCTTACTTAAACAATCCTGTTATTCCACCTATTCTTGCACTCAAAACGTCAACCTCCCAAGGTCACTTTTTCATATGGGGGTCTAGATTTCTTTCAGGGCTTCATTATGTACATTTGTCTGTAACATATAGTTTGTGTTTCAGTCTTTTAGACTCTATATGGCATCAACTCTTAAAATAGTGTAATAGGTTACTTTAATTTTTGTTTTGATAATTTTAATTTTAAAATTTAAAATTATAAATGGAAATTAATAAAAATATTAAACACTTGTAGGCTGTTGAGGAAATGGGCAAGGGGCAAAGAACTTCCTCTTTAAGGAGCTTTGGAGGAATGTGTTGGAACCAGCAGCGAAATCTAGACGCAAAATATGTTAAACAGTACAACTAAAACCTTTATTTTCTGCTGTCACACATCAAGAATAAAACAAGAATGGGGAAATTTCTTTAGGAGAGAGTACAGAGCAGTGCTGGAGCTGCGGTGGCTCAAGTTGTTAAGACGCTGAACTGCAGGCTGTGGAAGGTCAGTAGTTCAGCAGTTCGAGACCCGAGTTGCTGCATGACAGAGTGAGCTCCCGTCTCTAGTTCCAGCTCCTGCCAACCTAGCAGTTCGAAAGCAAGAAATTGCAAGTAGATAAATAGGTACCACTTCGGTGGGAAGGTAACAGCGTTCCATGCGCCTTGGTGTTTAGTCATGCTGGCCACATGACCACGGAAACGTCTTCGGACAGCGCTGGCTCTTCGGCTTTGAAACGGAGATGAGCACCGCAACCCTAGAGTCGGACTTGACTGGCTTTCGAGCAAGGGAACCCTTACCTTTACCTTTACAGAGCAGTGCTACAGTGTCAGAGAGAATAAAGGCTATTATTTCTATGTGGATCCAGGGAATAGTGTTATTTTGGCAGGCATCAAGTAGGAACTTCATTACTGTCAGGACGCCCACTGAGTTAATTCTGGAATCTGACTCAAAAGCCTCAGAGAAACAGCTATAAAAATGGCTTGAGGGAGAGCGGGGGGCTTCAGGAGACCCCTGCAGAGTAGATGCCCCTGGCTCATTTGTTCCAGAGGCTGCCTCTGAGGAGCCTGCAGTTGGAGCTCCTCCAGAACTTCTGAGGAGTCTGTAGTTGGACCTCCTCCACCAGAACTGCTCCACCCAGCAGGAGCAGTGGAGGCAGAGAGCTTGTGCCAAGATAGCCAAGCAAAGAAGCAGTGCCAGGCTAGCAACCTGTGCTCCACCTCCCGAACCAGATCATGGTCCAAGTGGGTGTAACCCTTTGCAGAGCTAAGGGTCTGGTACCTCTTGAAAGACCTGCCTGGCCCTTCCTGCAGAGTACTGGACAGTTACCTCCCAGCATCATGAGATGCATACAGCTATTCAGTTCTCTTGCAGAACTAGTTTATAAAAACAGTGTTGAAAACTTTGTAGCTGTGAAGCCTGAAAGAAATAAAAACAAAATGTAATAACACATTTTTTAATCTGCCATTTCAGGAAAGACAGAAGCCGTGATCAAGAACTTCAGCCCGCATTACAGACGCCAGTATGCAGTGTCCTTTTGTAAGCACATCCAGAACGAGCTAGAACAAAACAGAGACCTGCAGTCCCAGTTCTTAAAAACAAAGGTAAAGAGTATTGTGGGATTGCTCTTGAGTACCACCTCAGTGTGGGACTTCCCTGCCTCTTTAAGGTTATGTAAAGTACTGGGTTCAAGACGCGTTGCTGTGATTTAGCTCATAGTTTATTGGAGACGAGAGAAAACTGAGACAACTTGCAGGCCCCGGGGACCTGCTTAAGTGCCGGTCCCTGCCACACCCACATACACACCCAACACCCGTGATTGGTTTATTTACAGTGCACCCATAACCATAGGTCCCTTTTAGGATCCTGAGCTGACCGATTGGTCCGTGCTAAGGATCCTCTGAATCCGTTGTTCTGGCCGCGAAGCTTTGCTTGTTCGCTTGACCACGTGCGAGCCCGACCGTGTGCGCGGTCCTTATGTAGTACGTAACAGGTTATATGTCTAAATATATATTTTTGGACTGAAAGTTAATCTGTCTGTATCTAACGAATATGTATTATTTTGACAAATGGTCTTTGACCGTAAATAAACATCATTCATTCATTCCCTGCCTCACACTGCTGTAGTCCACTGAGCCCTGCAAAATTCTGCTCTCTCTGTGTGTGTGTGCACGCGCACATGTATTAAGAAGCCTTAAGGGGTAGTGCAGGGCAAAGTAAGGGGGTCAGCATCGGGAAGGGGGGTATTGGGGGAAATTGCCATCCCTTTCAGTGCCAATGGAAGTGCTGGTTGCAGAGCAGCACCTTAGAATCCAGCCCAGTGGCTGCATCTGTGGGGGTGGGAAGTGCCGTCAAGTCACAGCCAACGTATGGCAACCCCAGAGGGACAAACAGAGGTGGTTTGCCGTTGGCTGCCTCTGCCTAGCAACCATGAACTTCTTTGGTGGTCTTCCCATTCAAATACTAACCAGGGCCAACCCTGCTTAATTCCCAAGATCTGATGAGATCAGGCTATCCTGTGCCGTCCAGGTCAGAGCAGCTGTCTCCATGCCACACATTTTAATCCTGCTTGAAGGAGATTTAATAGAGTCCCAGTGTCCCCCCCCCCCAGTGGACTCTGGAAACATGTACTTTTGTAAGAGGGCGGAGAATTCCTTTCTTGTGACATCCCAAGCTTCCCAGACAACTACTGTTCTTAGAATTCTTTGGTATGGTATGGATTGTGAGCGAATATAATAATAACCTTTGACGCTTAATTAAATTTATACTATATCATCAGCTATTTGTCCTGTTGGGAAAAAATATAAAGATATTGCATGGCTTAAACCAGATAAATGGCATGAGGCAGAGAGAGGTTAGTCTTACTCTTCACCCACTGCTGCAGTCCTGATTGGATTTGCGCCTCCACAGCTGATTTGATTTTTTTTTTTAAAAAAACAAACCTGTGGGAAATTCTAATCATGAATCCTCTCTATCAGTCTTGTTTGGCCTTAATAATAAAAATGAGGGGTACCTCTGAACTCGTGAAGAGAGCATTTGGTTTATTTGATATATTTTGTTAATGTTTCCACTCCAGAAGACACTGAGTAAAATATTCACTGATGATAAAACTACTAAAAGCTTAATGAAAAGCAAGCATTGTGTAGCATCAGGAATCAGAGCCCTGCAGAATTTTTATTTTTAATTTGGCCCAGTATTTTTCTCATTTATTGGGTGAGAGTTGCCAGCCCCCAAACAACCAGCCTTCAAGGCCAAGCCTTCCATTTCACAGGATGTCTTCTGGGCAGGTTTTGAAGCTCTTTGCCTCATTTTTTACAAATTAATCACTGGGAAGGGTCCCAAAAAGTCCATTCTGTTTTCCTGTAATCTTTTCCTAACTGGTCTCCACAGCCCCCGGCAGAATCCACTGTGATCTTTTATGAAGGAGAAGTGACACATTTTGCTGAAGACTTGAAGAAATGGAAGGACAGATACATAGTGATTAAGAACAACTATGCTGTGGAGAGTTTTGAAAACAAAGAGGTAAATCTCCGATGGTTTATCAATGTCTAATATTTAAGTGCATGCATCTGTCACGTGCTACAATAGATTCTAGTATCTTCTTCAGCGGCAGTGGTGTTTTATTTATTATGTATTTGTGTAAAATATGTTGTGCCACCTTTCCACCTGATCAGGGTCCCCAAGACAGCAATTAAAATGATTAAAATTATAAAAACAACATTAAAGTTATAAATTAATTCAATAAAAACATAAACACCTGAACCAGGTAGGAGGACCAGTAACAGTTATTGGGGATATGCCAAATGAAATGAAGAAGTCTTTACCCCCCGGCAGAAGACACCGATAGAGGAAGATTGATGAATCTCCCAGGGGAGAGCGTTCCAAAGTTTTGGTGCCACGACTGAGAGAACCCTGTCTCGGGTTGCCACCTGTCTAGCATCAGATGGCCAGGGCAACCAAAGCAGGGCCTCTGAAGATGACTGGAATGAGTGGGTGGGTTCATATGGGAGAAGACCGTCCTTAAGGTATATTGGTCCCAGACCACATAGGGCTTTAAATGTCAATACCAGCATCTGGTATTCAGAGATATACATCCTCTGAACGTAGAGGTTCCATTTTGTCATCATGGCTAACAGCCTTTGATGGATCTAGTTCCCATGGCATTTGTCCTCTTTAAGAGCCTTTTAAACAATCCTGTAGCAGTGAGTTCCATGGCTCTTTTCTGTCTGTCCTGAATGTACTGCCCGTTCACTTCATTGCATACCCCCAAATTCCAGTATTATGGGGAAGCAGAGTTATCTCTATTCACTTCCTTCACACTGTGCATTATTTTATAATGCTTGACAGTGGGTGAGGAGGTCTGCAACCAGTCAGTCCAAATACTGTACCAGAAAAAAGTTGAATTATTTGACATATCTTTCTGTCTGTCTGTCTAATGTCCATTCAAAATGTTTGTGTAATTTCTTGGATGTTTTGTCATTTATTCTGAATGCACAACAGAGAATCACTGCTGTGTGGAAGCAGACTGAATTGGATACGTTTCATGAACTTAAACTAAGCTATTTTTCTAAAGCGTGATTTCTCTCCTTCTGTCCCAGGCTTTCCAGAAGGGCCTTAGCGCTAAAAGCTGCATTCTCCCTGTTGGAGGCAAAGTACTGACAACAGAGGAGGAGTATAACTCTCTATCTGATAAACATTTTCCAGACCCCAATGGTAAGACACAGCAAAACGTATGGGGAATGTTATGTCTTCAGTGTTTTTTCTTGTGTTTGACCATTGTTAGGCCTTAGAAATGAATTGGTTCTGGAGTCAAAAGCTTCTGACAACTTTCTTAACCATCCTTAAAAAAAAAAAAAGAAGTGCTGTACATTTTATATTATCTGATGTGTTTGGGTAAATGTGCCTTTGACTTTACAAATGTGACATGAAAAATCCACAGGAAAAAGGTGGTATATCTTGTGGCTGCCAGTGTCGCTTCTGGGCTGCAATTTTGTTGGTCTGATGTCACTGGAAAACTGTTAACCCAAGATGTATTGTAAGAGGAGTCAAAATGGACCAGAAATAAGAAGAATGTGCCTATAGCATATATAAAGTGCAGTCCTTTAGTTCCCCTGATGTACAAATAATCTCTGCTGGAAGCTCAGGACTGATAGATTTAATGCCAATCATTGAAGTATTTCCCATATTTACAAATAATCTCTGCTGGAAGCTCAGGACTAATAGATTTAATGCCAATCATTGCCCATATTGTTAGGAGAGCTGGATATATCTAAGGGGTTGGAAAGGAACCCTGGAACTGCTAACCATGGCCTGGGTAAAGGCCTTTTCTTTTTAGACTCAACACAGAGAGAAAAGAGTTTTTTATTACCTTAGGACATTGGTCTTCAGATTATGGACTGGGACTTTTATGTGGGTCACAGGCTGCAATACATTATTCTTTTCCCTGAGACTTTCCCTGAGCCCATCACTAGCAACCCCCAGAAATGATGTCATTTCTGGGCAGAACCATGGAAGTGATGCCACAGGTTGCCATGAAGCTCTACAGATCCGATATCTATGGTCACAACCATAGAGATCGGTGGAATTTCCTAGAGGGTTGTGGTAGCCTGTGAGATCACTTCTGGGGGATTCACCGAGAAATGATGTAATGGCATTGATGATACCATTTTTCTCCCCCTTTTTCATACTACTGCTGCATTGATCAGTAGTGGGCAGTTGGGTGCAATGGTGGAAGATTGCTTGCCACTACCAGGCAGCTGGCAACTCTAGCTTGGGGGGTGGGGGGGCAAGGGCTGCTGGGTTCTGTCCTGTTGACTGCATAAACCAACCACAGAAGACACTCTCCTGCCATGGAAACCCTGGGGGCAGTTGGAGAAGCATTTTTTTTCATTGATTTAGCCAGATGTGGCTCTTGTGTCACATTGTGCAGCAAGGAGAGACAAAGGTGAAGGAGAATAATAACACAGGTGACATGGCTAGAGTAGGGAACCATTGGACAGTCAAGTTAAGATTATTTTTGCATAGACTGTATTGTAATTGTCTCACCTAGGGTTTGAGCCCTTACCCTAGGGGCCTCCAACCTTTTCCAGCCTGTGGGCATCTTTGGAATTGTGATACGGTATGATGGGTGCAGCAACACAATATGGCTGCGCCAGGAGGCAGAGCCAGCCACAATGTGGCTCCTGCAGCTTACCTTCAGTCACATGGTGAAAATCCTTGTGGTGTGATGGCAACTGCTGCAAAGCAAAATATTTAAAAATCTGCATAACCAATCAAATTTCTAGTGGCCAATCAGAAGTCTTGCTGACCAAAAGCTCCACCTGGCCTCCACATTTGGCAGGAACCAGAAAAGGTGCTGTGGGCACCATGGCACTCACAGCACCAAGTTGGGGACCCCCACTCTAGGAAATACTCATGTGATTGACCATGCCCATTTCATTGGGTCATTTTAATGTTATGCCATTCTCATGGGAGCTGCTCACAGATAGTAGCTTCCATGTAATGGGATATGTAGATGGACTTATAGAAGACTGTGTATGGTGTGCAGAAGTATGTGGTAGAGTTTGCAGAAACATCAGTTGTGTATGTGTGTGTTGTTTATGGATCATGAGGGAAGCCACATGCAGTTGAATATGCCCTGCAAAAGTTGCTTCCACAGATCAGTCTGCTGCAAGTGCTAGAAGCTACAGACTAAAAGGAGCCTTTGTGTTTATCTGGCACTTCTGCTGGAGGCAGAAGTCAGATGATTTGGTTCCAAAAGCAAAGGCACCATCAGCAAAGAACTCCACGGCTAATTTTCCCCCTGGTGAAACTGATGTTCTCTCTTCCACAAGGGTTGTTTTTAAAGCTTACAGTCATTGCCTCTTCTCTGTGGATAGATAAGCCCAATGTGAAAGGGAAGGGAGTCAATTGCTTTGGGGAGAGGAAATTGGTGCTTCTATGGTGTTAACACGTTGCCATAAAAAGGAATGTATATATTTATTGCCTTCATGGAGACGTGTATATTGCCTGGTAACTGTGTTGTAATGTGTTCTCAGGAAGGTGATTCCATAAGAAGGAAAACCATCTGGGACCATCACAGTTCATATTAGAAACTGGCTGAATTTCTATTTAATTTCCACTCTATTTGGTTTCTACAGATTTGATGCCCATGATAGTCCTTTGAATTATTAAAAGAGCAATATTCCAAATGACAGAGTGGGAACTTGGGTACTATTGCTCTGAACTCTGTATCATATGTGTGCAATTGTCAAACTCTGCTTAGTTTGCCATAGTTACAGGGGGGGGAGGGAAATTCCTGAGGGGGCTGACTGGCTGTGTGTGTGTGAACTGCTCTATCATAGGCGTCATAACTCTTCCTTAAGATACCTTCCTCCTAGAGGAATGACCTTGAGACCGAAGCTGTGCCAGCTTGCTATTGTACATAATGGGATCGTATATTCCCAGGTGTGTGTGTGGGGGTAATGAACACATAAGCTAGGGCAGGATGGCTACGAAGTGTGATTGGTTATTCCCCAGGGGGCCCTGTTTGAACTATCTATATCTTTGGACTTTCCCGCCAGAACCTCAGTTCTGACACAGTACTGTTCTAGCCTGGATCATGTTGATATCTCAATAAACAAATCACTGCCAAAGAGAGTGTTGTTGGGAGTCTCTTGACCAGGAGTCTGACAGCAATGAAATCAAATATATAATGTTCATGAAATTCTCTGGGGCCGACTTTATTAGACATGCAGCCCAATTCTATTCATGTTCACTTGAAAGTAAGCCCCAATACATTCAGTTCCAGAAAGGCAGCCATATGAGTCTGGTGCAAGCAAGACAACAAAGAGGCCTGTAGTACAAATGTATTGATGCATAAGCTTTCCTGAGTCAGAGACCACTTTTTCAGACTCCTACTTAGTGTGGATATAGTCATAGCTGGGAAAGATTGAAGGTCAAAGAAGATGGGG